TTGATCAAAGACGCATTGTTTTTTCACTGTTCGTTGGTCTCGGCACGAATAACAAAAAGTGAGGGGCCTGTGTATTTTTCTCTTGTGTTTGTGTACTCTCTCGATCTGAATTTCAGCGGGAGTTCAAAAATAATTATGTGGCCTTCTGAATTTGAACAAAAACAAATTTCAAGGTAAAACACAAAAAAATATATGAAAAATTGAATACCTGCGGAAAAATAGTTAGCGACTGCAGTACAGATGAGTGAAGAAAGTTTGGAATTATCATGAATTGTGTTAAATCTAGCTGCTTAGAACAAAATATCAATTTTTCAGGTACACAAGCGTGTTAACTACTGCAAATCAATACAGAAAGCGAGGCTGACTCGGGAATAAGAGAAGCGATGGAAGCGAGACCCGATAGCCGTAAAAATAGGATAGCTACCTGTCGAAGGAATGCATTTCATGGCTGAAATCTTAGAGGAAGCTTTTCTTTAAGCTATCAGGAAAGTCGCCGTTAAGATGCTCGATAAATTCAATGAGCCTGTAAGTATTTTCCAATGGCAATTCAGCAGCCCGTCCACATTATCTTGGCGGCTAGTACGCAAGTCAGGAAGTCATAATATTCAGCTCACCAAATTCAATATTCAGATCACATCGCATAACTGAAGAGCAATTGAACTGGTTGTTGGACAATCATTATAAATAACAGAAGAAATTTATCAAAAGAAGCAAATACGTAAGATGTTGTCATACAAAGCTACACCGATTATCACAACTTTTTTTTTGCAGTGAGAAGCTTCGTCTAGAACAAAATTTTGCGGTTCGTATAATTGCTTGAACATTACGTTACTCTTCGCACAAACATATTTCAGATCCGTTGGGTGCTGAAAACATCCCATTTGCCAAGCCTACTGAACGAGAAAAAAATCTCATGGAAAACTCATGGGTTCAACTGAAATCGGCTTTGAACGAAATGGCTATTTGCCGACGTTTAGTCAAAACATAATGATATCAACGGAGAGATCGATGTGGTACTGCTTCTACAAAGCTCTATGCTCATCAACTGGTACTAAAGTTGAAGTGAAGATAAAGTAAGTTCTTACAGAGAAAAATGTGCACCAGGCATTTCAAGATTTCCATCGTATCTGAAGCAAGACTCCTTCTGCGATAAACGTTCTTGCGCATAGACACTGGAGTTCAATTTTGAGAATGCGCTGTGGGAGCAGAAACCAATTTCTCAAAAACCAAGGAAAATGAAAATAGGACATCCATGCATAATCGTCACGGGGCTCAGATCTCCTCCAATGCCAATATTTTGTTGTCAACGATGCGAGTTTTTTCAATCTCTTAAAAATCAAAAAGGTGAGGCTGTACCGCCTCTTAGCGTTGCAAGACGGTTTATTGCTCTAGCACATTCCCAGAGCCTGAAAAATTTTTTTTTCAAAACCAACCGAAAACTCCGATGTTCACATGACCTCCGAATTTTTTCTGAAAAGCTATTTAAAAATCTTCGTCAAGTAATTTCTATATTGAGACTCAAAATTTGTTTTCAGTTTAATATATGAACCGCTCATTTTTTGCGCGTTTTCTTTTGTGTGTTTGCGTCCCCATTTGGTGGGGGTTCGAAAAATAATTTTGTGGCTGTCTGAATTCAAAAGAAAACGAAATTTATGTTTTTTTTTCAATTACGATTCGATCGCAGAGAAAATCAGAATATCAATTGCTAAAGATGGTACGGAATCCGATGAAAATCGAGGATGAGTTGCATAAAACGAAAAGTGAACGATGAAGGCAAAAATAGCAAGGCCAGATTTGACAGGACCCCTCAACTACTCATTGAAAAATGCTTTCCATAACTAAAATTATGATGAAGGATTATTCTACTGGCTGTCCTCAGAAGAATCCAGTGCTTACAAATTGCACAAAATGCAACTTCTCTGTGAGTTTTTTCTCTATCGTAAAAACCTCTGCAACAAATCCTTTTTGCAGACCATTGCCTGTTGCTTAAATGTCTAGCTGAATATTGGGTATTCCTAATAAGAAACCTGATGATAAGAAGAAAGTCGCAGAGGATAATCTTCCAATCCCAACGGTTCAGCTCAAAGAATCAAGCCCTCCGTCAACAATCTATAGCTAATGTGGGACACGATGTCAACGATTTACGGATGGGCTTGGACGTGGTTATCTGTAAATGAACTACGCAATTAAAACACTGTTCGCCGTGTCAACCAGAAGATGCTTTAGGAGTTGCCGTCGGAACGCAGTTTACAAATTAGAGACTCTATTGAACAAAACCGTGAGACTCTCATATCTAAAAAGTGAGTGCTTTACTGATGGAAGCGGTGTTCTATGTTTCTCAATATTTCAGATCCATTAAGTAGTTTCTCCTGCGAAGATTCAGCGCAAACAAACAGGAACTTGCAACTTTAAGAAGAAATATTGAGAGACGACTCGGAAAGATTGACAGAAGCTGGGCCCACTGACGATAGTCAAGCTTCATATGTGTTGTCGTCTGCTGAAAAAATGGCAAACGCCTTCAGAATACCCAGAAAATCCTCCATTCACTTCAGCTGAAAGAGAATGTGAACCAACCACTGCAAAAGAACACTTTTTGACGTGTCAGGCAACCAGAAAACATCAGAAGCTAGATGACAAATTTGAGCCTCTATAGAACTAATGGAATATTCTGAAGTCTTGAAAGTGAGTGCTTTACTACGTGAATATATGTTTCACAAATTTCAATATTTCAGATCCATTGTCCCAAACATGTGACTTTTGTTGCGACAAATCTGAGATAGCGAGAGGAGAAAAGAGATTGTCATCCTGCTGAAGACTTTCTTTGCTGATCCTTTTCCAGTTTGCCAGCAACTCAAATTTGACGAAGATCACTACAAAGAATCAAAAAAGAATAATAGAATCCAGAGACTGAAACGTAGAACATCTAGAAGTAATGACTTCCATGCGCAATCATCACAGGATTCAGATGTCATCCTATATCAATGCTTTTCTGCAATTGCCATCATCCATGTGAGTTATTTCAATTTATGAAAAAAATTTGAAAGCTGAAACTGTGCTGCCGCTTTTAATCTGCGTTTTATTGCTATCTCACATTCTTATAGTCAAAAAAAGTAGCTTTTTTGAAACCAATCGGGAATCATACAATTTTTGATTCACCTCAAATTTTTTGCCTAAAAAGCTATTATAGAAGCTTGTTTTGATATACTCTTGACGATCAAAATTGAGCCGCCCATGTTTTTTTTTCGTGTGTGCTTGTTGTGTTTGCGGCCTTTTTTTGGTGTGTTTGCGTCCCCGCTGGGAAATTTCAGTGGGAGTTCAAAAACAATTTCGTGTCTGTCTCAATTCAAACTAAAAAGAAATTTATGTTTTTCAGGTCTGTGAACGAGTCACTACAATAGAATTCACAACATCAATTGCTAATAGTCCTACAGAATCACATGAATATTGAAGATGAAATGAAGAAGTGGAAAAATCAAAAATGTATGTATGAAACGAGATGTTAAACATAACAAAAAGAGTAGCGAGGGCCGAATGCTCAATAATCACTTATGTGAAAAAGCTCTCCACAACTAAACAGTGATGGATGCTTATACCGGCTGTTATGAGGAGAATCTGGCGTTTTGCTACAGTAGGAAATACGATTTGTCGGTGAGCTTTTTCTTTATGATAAATTCATTAGAAAATCAAACATGTCTTTGCCGATCACAAAACTTGCAGCACCAAATTCAAGTTTCAGACCAAACCCTGTTACTCAACCGGCTGGCTGAATTTTGATCATGATTCTTGGAACTAGCAGAAAACAAATCATGAGAAGAAGTTGCGAAGGATATTTTACGAAGTCAGACAGTTTAGCAGAAGCAATCGAGCTCGCCGTGATGCTCAAACGATTGGGACTGTTTTTTGCATACTCCAGCAGTGATAAGCTCCATTTGGATTCAAGCGGTTAGTATATTTTTTTGAATATCATGATACTTTCCGCCCAATTTTACTATTCAGATCATCGCCGTGTGCAGAAGTCAGCTACTTCGTTTTGACTTTTGGTCGAGGAGAAGATTTTTGTGTGCTGCTTGAGTACTGCTCCTCTGTAGAAACCGAAGCGACTCGAGCAAAAACTCTCAAAATTTTTTCACATTGCCCCTTCGATATTGTCAATAAATGTAAATTTTCATACATATTTTTGTTTGAAAAATAAAACTAAGATATGATACTTTCAATAATTGTTTCAGAAATTTTTCTTATATGGATATTTCACATTTTCCCCTATTTCATGTGATGGGTTTATTTTATTTGTATCTTGCAATACACGATTACCCATTTTTGTGTATTCCCAATTCCATCAATTCTAATGAATGAATGTCTAATTTAATTATTTTCAATGAGTGAGCAGTAATATCGTATTTTGTACAATATTTTGATTTCAATTGTAAGGAGCATTCGGCTTTGATCGGAAAAAAAAGTTCGGAGAATCGGATACCCAAATTTTCATCCGAATTGTTTTTTAGTGAATTGGATAATTTACTTTTTTCTGACTTTTTTCAAAAAGTATTTGCCGCCTCTGACCCTCCAGCCCTATCTCTGACCCTCTGACCCTCCAGCCCCTAACGATTAAGAAATAAGGGAGGTGCGCAGCAAAGATGCCCTGCCCAACTGTTGTGGTACATTTGTGTTGTTACGTGTATGGTGAACAGGTGGCGTGTACGGTCCCTTATTGATTTCTCTTCTGTTGCGTCTCATTTGGTTTCTGATAGGTTTCCCGATAGAAATTCTTTGCTAAAAAATTTTTTCGATTTGCTTTTATTTGCTATTTTTAATATTTCCGTGTACTTTATTTTAATCGCCGCGTTTTTCTCGCAAAATTAGACATTTGAATTTTGTTTTTTCAGCGCTAACAACTCTTAGTCAACGATTGTTCCTTCTCACGAGTAGCTTCCAGTCTTTTTTCAATCTCCAAAAAGTAAGTTTTTCTTCACATTTTTCATTAATTTCATTTTTTTCCAGAAATGGCAAACCAAACTCTTCCTTATTGCCCAGATCATATCGTTCCAGTTGCTATCGAGGACGTCGTTGGAACAAAAACCGAAACTATCACTTTCGGGAAAATTCTCGTCAACAGGGTGAAATTGATCGGAATCGTGGGATGCATTGAACTACTTGAGAACGGCGCGAGTTTCGGCATAAGCAACCTGGCGAAAACACACCATATTCTCGTCACGAAGTTCTACACGGTAAGTGCATTTATCTATACGATGCGGTATGTGCATTTTTTAACTGTTATTTCATTTAGGAAGCCTTCCCAAGAACAAGGTGCGCTGAGTTCATCATTCCCGACTATGTTGAAGTTTTCGGGAAAATTCGAATCATTGATGGAACGGCGTATGTTAACGCCTTCCACTTGAATGTGCTTTCAAAGGAAATTGCTGAAGTAAACGAGATCATAATTCGAAACTCAAGATCATTCTACGCCAAGGTAACCTTTATGATATTCAATTGTCAACGAATTCCGAGTGTTTTTTTTTCAGAACAAACCAAGTATGCCTGACAACACCCCATCCGTTGTGGCATCATTACTTGGGCTCGGTCGGAAAGTTGGAAATCTTTCCCGCTTCCCAATCGATATGCTTGAGCCGTCGCCAGTTGTTGCAAATAATGGGGGAGTGTTGCCATCGGAAATTGAAATGCTTGCTGAAATGCCGAATGGCCAAAGGGACGATTCTTCAGACTGTTCCGACGAAGAGGAATTGGATTCGGAGGAAGGAGGGGCGGCCGATGAGGATTACGAGGACGAAGAGGAAGAGGAGCATATGGAAGAGGAGGAAAAAGAGGAGCTTATCAACAATGCGGCACCACACTTCGACTGAATTTCATTCGAAACGTGTAGGTTCAATTGGGTTTTTTTCTATTTAAAATCAGATAATTTTTTCAGAATGTTTTCTTCGCTCTACTCTCCTCTCTTTCATAACAGATTCTTTCTTTTTGATCTACCCAATCAATTCCACATCTTCCTGCTTCAAAGATCAGTCTTCCTCATTATTTGGCCATTTTTCCTTGTTGATTGGTCATGGTTCCCCATTGATTGATAATTTTTCCTCTGTATCTTTTTTCCAGTAACATGTGCTCTCCCATTCCCGCCACTTGTTTGAAGTACCAAGAATAAATGGATTGTTCTGTCAACTCGTGTTTTTTCGTCTTTTTTTGCAGATCTAGTATTTCATGCCATTTGTTATCATCAGTAATATATCATCAGAATTACAGCATTATGACTAAGCTGCTGGAGAAAAAGCAATTTCTGGAACTTTTCGGAGTAAAAGAGATCCTTCCTCCAAAAAAGGATTTCGCTTTTATGAATATACCGTAAACACTTTAATACAACGCTAAGCGAATTGTTGAATTTGAGCCTATGTATCTCATTTACTGTAAAAGATGTCAAAAAGTGATTAACTAATAAAATGCTGCTGATGTCGTTTTATTAGAATGTTTACGGTAGCTTTTATTCTAAAACCGAAAAACCAATGCTCGCGAAGTTTATTTTGGCACTATGTTTATTGTGCTTTTTTACTTTCTTTTTGCTCATTTTGACCATTTTCATGAGTTTGGAGCTTGGTTGTCTTTCAATAATTGATGAATAGCTAAAAATATCACCTGACTTTTGAAAATGGTCAACAAATGCACAAATCGACTGAAAAAAGTTTTTGTAAATCTTATTATCCGTATCTAAATGAAGACAGTATTGAAAAAAAATTCCCCTTGGAGAAACCTATAAATAAAAAAGAATGAGTTCTTTGAGCAATGGCAGAGACAGATCTAAAATTCAGCAGCATCACAACCTCTTCTGTATGCAAGGATATGCGTCGATCTTCTTTGTTGACAATATCTAGCTTTCTGTGTCAATCTTCTTTTTGTCGACGCATCACCTCAACGAAGAGAATTCTACAGTACCCAGTATTGCCCTTTCCAAACAATGGTCATAAAATATTTTCAGGCTCCGCCTCTCCACCGCATAAAATGACTCTGCTCCTTCTTCCCACCGGACTGTCGCACATAAGGACCCCTCTTCCTGATTTCTTCCCTCGTTTCCCCCATATTCTTCTCTCCTCGCGTCCCCATCCAGCCTCCGTTCCCCCATTTCATATTTTACCACCAGTTTCTTAAGCTCTCTTTCTCCCTCATAATAAAATTTTATTACCCATAAGTTTGAGGGATCCTCTTTTTCTCTGCTTTTTTTTCATCAGCACAGCCGCTTATTTTCTTTTCTGCACCCTTTTTTCTGTGTGGTACCTTCCATTTTCAAATTTCTGGTTGTGTTTAATAGCATCCTTTTTCAGCTCGTGAAAATGGATGATACAATGGATGACATGGAGATGGATGATCTAATAGATTTGGTTGATAAATGTTATAAAGAACTGCACACAGTGCCCTTAACTTACGAACAGATCTACAATCAAGAACAACGTAAACTGTTTCAAGAAAAAACAAAAAATTAAGGAAATGTATTGTTACAGGAGAACGAAAAATTTTGAAGATCGGCAAAACCATGCATTTCAATGCAGAGTATCTCGAAACGAAAATTGGAGAAGCAATCCTCAAGTTTTGGGAAAATACTCATGATAGGGCTGAGAAGCAAAATCTAAATCCACATTTTCTGAAATTCCACGACAAGAATCTGAAGGAACAAATTCACCAAAGTTTGGAAAAAGGATTGAAGAAAGGAATGGATTTGATCGTGAGACATGATGTTGATAAATTACTCAAGCAAATAGAGAAAGAGAAGAAGGAAAAAGATCACAAGAACAAGCAAAAAGAGGAAAATGTGAAGGATTCAGGACAGGGCGAGGATGGCCAACACACTGAGCTTCGATAAAAATAATACTGTAGGTTCAATATTTCAGCGATTTCCTAACCACGTAGATTTTTTTCAGCATCTTTCCTTCATTCTACATTCTTCCCTCTACTCTCCCAGCAGATTCAATCTGTTCGGCTTCCGTCATCTACCCGATTAATTTATAATAATTTTATTTTTATTCATAATTTTTCCGTGGATTAATCATTTCTCCCCGTTTAAATTCAACAATTGATTGTAAGTGCCAAAAAATGAATTGATCTATCAAACCCGTCCTTTTGTTGTAGTTTTGGTTCGTATTCCAAGCCATTTCGTTATCATCAAAAATACAATTTTATCGTCATATTGGAAAACTTCATCATCATACTGAAAATTACAATTTCTGAAATGTTTTTGTCCAAACTGTGAAAAAAGACTCTATTTTCAGAAAAAAAAACAATTTTCTAGAATTGTATTTTTAGAAACTTCATTATGCGCTTTCATTTTTCTTCTGTTATATTTTGTCGCTATTTTCATGTTCATTTTTTATCTATTGATATGGTAATAAGCAAGAGTGCGCGAATGGGAAAACATACAGTACTGGTCAATAAGATATTTTATGCAAAAATTTATTTTTAAGCTGATTTTCCGCATTTGAAATTTTTTTTTTTGAAAAATTTCAATGAAGTGGTATAAAAATTGGAAAGAATGGGGTATAAAAATAAGGAAAAAACAATATAAAATCAGTAAAAACCACTAAGATTTTTCAAAAAGTATTGTTTCTTGAAAAGTATTCAAACGCACTCTACTGAAATCCAAAGAAAGATAGTATTAGAATTTCGGTGACACAGATTTTTATAAGATAATCATTTTTTAGGCCGCGCGATTGCCTTTTGATGGGAAATTTGAAAATTGAAAATAAAGTTAGAGAAAAATTCAGGTTGAAGAAATTTGCACTCAAGTCTTCTTTTTTTGTTGAAAAAAAAATTAACGAAAAAGCTAATTTTTAGTCTTTTTTAACATTTCCCCACTCTTGATCTTCATGACGACTGCCTGCTGCCTGATGCCTGACGTTTTGTACAATCATGATTCCTCAATTATGTCCTCAATTATGATTGGAATCTAATTGCTCTTTGAAACAGACAGTAGGGTATCCCGATGAGTCCAGATAACGACAGTGCAATTTTTTTTGAAGGGAACGGTGCCGCATGAGTGACATCATGTTTAATTATTTCCAGCTGCCTACTTTTATCTTGATCGCATCCATGGAGAGACGTTGACTACTCTTAGTAGAACCAATTCGTCATGTGTGAGTCCATGGTCCACGTACTCAGGTCTTAACGTTGAGTAAGTAGTGAATATTTTGTGGATTTCTTTTTTCTTTACGTTCCCTTCACAGAATCACACTATTACCCTTTTAAGACTATTTACAGGGATGTTATTCACTGTTTATTAATTTTTTGATTTGATTTGAATTGATTTACTACGTAACAAATGAGTGAACAAAAAGAATTGGATGGAGTATTTTGTTAAAAATTTTTCAAATGTTTTTTGAAACTCTGCGTGTTCCCTTCACTTTGGTTCCTTCCCTCATTGACAGTTTCTTCAAAATAACTTTTCACGTTTTAACCATTTAAAAAGTTTAATATCCTTTTTTTACAGAACAAAGAAGTAGTTGATATGGATACTATTCTCTCTGACCGTACCCAAAGATATTTGAATAGAAAGAAAAAAACATGAAAATGCAGATAAAGGTGGGAGAAATTTTAGACAAACGTTGACTTCCAAATCTAATTTCACAGATTCTCAAAAGCCCCGAAATGACGAGAACAAAGCCCCTACAAAAACCGATCATACCGGAGTCGAGCCAAACTACAGTAAGACAGTGAAATGTCATAGTTGTAATAAATTCTTCCCTGTTGATAAGATGGAGGAGCATCTGGAAGAATGTATTGAAGAATCGCCTCTTGGTATGTGAAGAAAAATTATCTGTTACCCAATTTTGTAAATTCTTAGTTAGTTTTTAGTCGGTCATGACAAAACTTCATAAGTTTCATTGAATGAACAAAAATCTAACTGCCTAAATTTCCTAACACTTCGAAATTTTAAAAATTGAAAAACTGATATTAGAAATCAATTCGAAAAAAAGTTTGTTTCAGCAATATGAGAAAGATCTTCAAAAAAAGATGGAGAAGTACGACAAGGGAGTTCAGGAAGCTATCGTCAAACATTTGCCCCCGCCAACACCGCGAGATTTTGGAATTCCAGTAGATTTGAACAAAAGTGGACAAGTTACAAGAGTAAACTTCTCAGTAGACTCGTTGACACCAATCTTCTCTTTCCTTTCGTAAAACTGATTCTTGTATTACTTCTTTTTTTCGCTGACAATTTGATTTTCTCTTCCAATAAATTTTTTAAAGCAATTTTATAAAGCAAACCATTGTGTAAACTTCAAGTTCTTTTGAAATCAAGTGGAATCTATTACATTTTTTTCTTACTGGTTTTCTTTCTTGAACGTTTTTTTGTATTAAAACATTTATGACCTCACAGTAATATGTTTTTTATTTCAAGGTTTTCTCATGATAAGGTTAATCTTGTTATTAACTTTTTATCTATTTAAATAGATAATGTGTGACACATTTGAACAAAAATGATCAAATCTTGATAACAGGCTACATACATTTTCTGCAAATCTTTTTGTCATTTGATCATGTAATCCTACAATCTCGATGTGATCACTTTTGTTCCAATGTGTCATACATTAGAACAAGTAACATCAGGCAGAAGTCAGATGTATTGAAATAGAAATTGAATGAACAACAAGATTAGCCTTATCACTAGAAAACCTTGAAGTACAAATTCTGTATCTGTGAAGTCATCTCTGCACGACGTCACTTAACGAGTAACCTGGAGTTGAAAAAATTGTGAAAAAAATCTGATTGAAAAATAACTAAAAGAAAGATACTGGGCCAAAAACCAGTCTATCAGAGAGTAGTATGGAACAATGTTAAAATTTGAATCTTCGGAAATTTTGGAATGAGGAAGATTACGGTACCGGCCAATAAAAATACGAAAACAAATTTTCAGTTGATTTTTGGTCATTTTGCCTACTTTAGTGGTTTGGACCTCGGCGGTCAAGTTGCCGATCACTTTTGAAATATTGGAGTGTGTAAACAAAATTAGTGTCGCAGGAAGCGATATAAGAGAAGAAGATATCGTGGGTGATCTATGATGTTAGTGCTTTTTCTGTATTTTTTCTATTTCACTGTTTCTTTTTAATGTATTCGCCCACATCGTTCCCATGAGCCATCATGAGAACGGTTTTCTTTCTCTATCTGTCCGCATAAATAGCGGTTTTGCCGCTGTATTCTTCACTCTTCAATAAATCATCAAGTATTATTTCTTCATCCGGCCTTCTTACAACAACCGACTTCTTCTTCATTTTTCACATGGTGACCCAGGAGTTGTTGTAAAGGATGGCTGGAAAGAGCAGCGGCACATTGCGGCGTGCCATTGGATTGGCCAAATCGTTCCTCGTGGAGAAGTTAGAGGATCAGAAGAAGGATTCAAAAGAAGATGTCACAAAATTCGATGAGGAGGAATTAGTAGAATTCCTCAAGCAAACACATCAAGACCATGAGCAGATCAGGATTCAAGTCGAGAAAATCCAAGGATACGAAGATGAATGGGATCAAATGATATTGAGGGATCCAAGAGAAGTGGAAGTGAAGGCTAACTACATCACGAAGTATGGATCGTACATGGCACAAGTGGAAACTGGTCACAAGCAGATGCAGGACATGGAAGCAAAGTACCGCGAAGCATGGGACAGACTCAACGCCAAGGATGCTACGAAAGCGGAAGAACTATTCACACCGGAAGAACTAGTCACAGTCAAGGGAAAGAAGGCAGAAGATGATCCGAGAATGAGGACACTGTCTGAGAGTTCAAAAAACGATGGGACAAATGCGAAGCAGCAGATGAATGGACAGGCTGCGGAGTGCCCTAGGATTATTTTATGTGAGGCAAGGATTATGGAACGCCAAGATCAGGAAATACAAGGTCAAAAAATGGATCAATCAAATGCTCAACGTGGAGCGATCAATGTGAACCAACCGGAGCAGAAGATGCTGAACAATGGACCAATGATGATGACAATGTCTCCTTTCCACTTTGCGATGCCCCAATGGAAGGTACCGACTTTTTCGGAGGACTACTGCGTCACAAACATCTTCTCCTACAGAAGCTGAGGAAGCTGCCGGATATCACCAACAGTACTTCGCCTGCAGCATTACAAGAGTTCTACATCAATGCTCAAATGATTTTCAATGAGCTTATGTCACTTGGATGCGAGATGGACAATTTATCAACTGCTGATGCTATCGAAAGCAAATTGCCGTTCCGCGTCGTCAGGAAAGCTTATACCCAAGGATGCAGAGATACGCCGTACAAAGCTAGTGAGTTGCTGGAGATGGTTGGAAAAATTTCGAGATCGGAGAGTTTGCTGGCTGCAATCAACCAACAAATGAGCAGCGTACAACTACAATGGCTGTGCAGAATCGTCATGGTCAAGGGAAGAATTCGATGAACAATCGTCAGAAGGAGAAGGTCAAGAAGCCGTGCAAGTATTGTGTGGAAGAACGAATGATGCATCATCCAATGGACTGCCGAAAGTATGCTACGAATGAAGAAAGGAAAGTGAGAGCTGGTCAACTACAACTGTGTTTCAAATGCTTGGAAGCTGGACACGTGGCTCGAGACTGCAGCTGGAAATGCAAGGAATGTCAAGGAAAACATCACTTCACCATGTGTCACAAGAGGGAGCAACAAGGACAAGGACGTCAACAACATCCAAGGAATGCTGGACACAGGTAAATCTCAAAGAGTTACCCGCCGAAAACGGGAGTTACCCGTCTCTTTTGGGAGGATCCCATCGGTTCATGGGATCCTCCCAAAAGGGTCCGGTAATTCCCGTTTTTGGCGGGTAACACCCGTTTTAGCCGGGTAACTCCCGCTTAGGCATTCGGGGAGCGCGCGGGAAATCCTGTACTGCACAATTTCCCTGTTAGCCCCAATATAGCCCCCGTTGTGGGTAACTCCCATTTGGACTGGGTAACTCCCAAAATTCACGGATAACACCCACCCCGTCTCACAAGGGAACCAAGTTTAGCATTCATCTCAGAATTTTTTCTAAATTTGCTCATTTATAGTTTTGAATACGGGCTGTCTCGTGGGGTATTTGGTTTTCTGCACAAATTTCTAGAAATCGAGTTATGGGCTGTTTAAGTGATTTCAGTACTAATTTCTCACTTTTAGAGTGAGTTTTTGAAAGGGTTAACGAAAGTTTTTCGGCATTTTTTGAGTGTGAATCGTATTTTTAGAAGTTTCTCCACAATTTGAAAAAGTTTTCTCATATTTCAAAACAAATTTTTTTTTTGGAAACATTTTGCCATGGCCTTTGCGAAATTTTACATTTTTTCGAAAATTTTTTTAATGCTAAAATGAATTCTAAACGTAATGAGATGATAAAATAAGTCTTTTCACAAGATTCTGTAGCCGATATCCATTTTGAAATCCCAAATAAGTGGTTTCTTCCGAAACTTCAATGAATCGTAGTCCTTCGAAAATCACCCAGTAGCACTCAAATTGTGTAAAAACATAGATATACATACTTCTTGACAGATTTATCACTGTTCTGCAACCAATATGGTCAAATCGAAGGATTTCGACTGACATTCTTATTGGATATCTTTCGAAAAAAGTCCAAAATGAATTTTTCAATAAATCGCTTTTTCGAGCTTTTTTCCCACTCAAATAAAAGAGCAAATATACTTTTAACTTTCGAAAAATGCAAATCATTTCTCCAACATCCAAGAAAAAAAAGAAAAAAAAAGAAAATGGACAACGAGGGAATCGAACCCCAAACTTGTGATTCCTATTCATCCCCACACAGGTCCTGGGCGCGCATACGCATAATGGATGGGCGACGGAGGACGCGCCGATGAATTGGGTACAGGGAAAGGACGCCGGTATGGGGCATATACGGGGCATATGGGGCACACCGCCGCCGCAAAGCATCTCCTCGCCTGGCTTGCTGGCACTCGATGAAATGAACTAAACCGTTCAGTGGGAGTTCCTAGAGATATCAATTGAGTGCTATTGTGATTTGATTTTGTTCAGGTCTTCCGATTTCGTACTTTTCCTTTATTATTCCATATTCTTTTATGTTTTGAACGACATATTACTGATTTTTTGAAACTCAATGTTTTGGTTTTGAAAAAGACTTATGGCAGTTTCCATTTAAAATTGATATGCAATCAAAAACAGAAGAAAATGGGAAAAAATTCGCTGAAAATTGTTTTTTTTTCACTTGTTCAAAAAATATGTCTCACTTTCACTTTTTTTGAAATTGCATGAAAAATCGAAAATTTTTATAATTTACACTTTGTAATTATTGCATACTTACCAACTTACCTTTTACTCCACCTGAAAATACGATTTTTACAATAATTACAAAGTGAAATAAAAAAATCTCAATATCACCTATTTTGGCGAAAAACATAGCAATTGACGAGTGAAAGAAAGAAAAAAGAATTTCGAGTGTCAATGTTTTAAATTTCCAGAGTTGCTGAAGTCAAAAACAAGTATTAAAAATTTTGTTCCTATTCTATAAACGTTTTGCCTTATTATCTCACCAAAATGAAATCCTAAAATAGGTGAAAATTTTTTCTGATCCCTTTTTTAGGATTCAGTATTCTTCTGGCCTGTCTTGAGGGTCTCCTATTTTTCTATGGGTCTCCTCCACTGTAATGTAATAAATCTCGCAAATTCAATAATACTGTATCGTCCTAATTTAATTGTCCAGTTCCATAAATGTCTAGAATATCCTTTTTTGAATACACCCTCAGAACTTTTTAAAAGTAACTATATATACTTTTTATAAGAATAACGTCAGTATTGCGAGAATTTGTTGTATTCCAGTTTGGGGACTCGTAGAAAAATAAGAGACCCTCAAAAAAGCCTAAAACAAAAATACGGAATACTGAAAAAGGGATTAGGAAAAATGTTCACCCTTTAGAATTTCATTTTGGTAAGATAATAAGGTAAGAAATACAATAGGAACAAAGTTTTAAATTCTATTTTTTTAATTTTCGCAAATTTGGAAATTTAAAACATTAGAACTCGAAATTCTTTGGAAAATAGTATTTCTTCACTCATCTGAATTTTTAGTAATATTAAAATTTGAGATTGAGAAAAATAGTATGAATAGGATGGTATAAATAATCTATCAATTCTAGGCGCTATAAATCCGAAGAAACGAAAAGTGGAGTCAGAAGAGAAAGAACTCCTTGTCGATGGCGCGATTTAATCTGTTTTTTATTGGTTCATCACTTCACACTTCACTTTTTCTTGAAGGGTCACGTAAACCTGTATTCATTTTTCAAGCTTTTTAAGGTGCCAATATGAAAAATAAAGTTCTCCCTTCAAAACCTACGCTAAAACTTCGGACTGAAATCACTCGGCTGAAACTGGCGAGCGTGTTCTAAAATTTTCAGGAATGTCTAGATAGGCTATCCTGGACATATCCTGAAAATTTCATCAAGATCCAAACTGACGAGGTGTTTTGGTTCCCTAGTAAGACCCTACCAATATACTGATAAACCGATAGCCCCCTCGCTTGTACCCCGTTTGAAAAAAAAACAAAGTTTTAAAACAACAGATCAAAAATGACAGGAATTTTCCAAACAACCTAATAATATCTTACATAGGAGCTAAGAAAACTTAGCTCAGACTCGACAGTGTGGGGGCACTTTTATCACAGGATTTACGGTAAATGAGGAATAAATTTGAAAACAAAACAGTTTATTGAGTATCAGATTTCAGTTTTACTTAATGTTTAAGCCCTTCATTCATTTTTTTTTCAAACTTCTGCGTCCTGAAATAAGTTCCAATTGATAAATACTACATGAAGAATTTTTCATGTTTCTGTTGTTAATTTTTTTTGAACTTCTTCTGGACAATCCATAATTGCTCTTTTGTCTGAAGAATTTAGAGATTTGGATTTTTCCGGCTTGTTTTTAAATCAAATCGAACCATCCGGAACATCGTCGTTTCCATTCTTCAATGGAGAAAATGCTAATTTCGATCTACATTTTTGTTGACAAAAACGGCTTCATTTGAATGAGATTTCTACTGGATTCCATGTTTCCTCAACTCACTATAATCTTCTTCATTTTATTTTTCCTATTTATGTTACCATTATGGATTCAAATTAAAAGTTCCAAAATGAGAAATCATGATTTGGCAATTGGTTTCAACGAAGAACCATTCGATAATTTTCGGCATTTCAATGGTTTTTATCCTATCTATTTTAGATTTTCTGAATTGATTCTTTTTAGATATTCTGAAGGTCGAAGAGGAAAATTTGTGTCAGCCATATGTAATTGGTTCAAGACAATTCGATTTGCTTGAACTGACTGCTCCAATGATGTAGGTTTTTGAAAAAAAAACCCTACGTATTTCATTTTTTTTTTCTGAACAGATTTTCGTGCAATTCACCAATGGGAAAATGGGCGAATTTCATGAATGGTGTATTAACAATTCATGAAAATTTGATTGAAAAGCGGAAAAAAGAAAACAATCAAAACTTTACGTTTGTTGTTTACCTGGTTCTCCAAAGACTAGAATTCTAATTTTAGATGTGTCTACACAGAAATAATAAAACGAGAAGAGCTTTTAAATGGAACGATATTAGTGGATGCATCAAAAAATGAAACTAACGTAGGGGCAAAAATTGGATTTATGAACAATTTTGTTTTCAGATTGAGCCAGGAATACCAACTAGAATAGATTTTGAGCAGTTTGTTGTTTTCTGCCGAGATCCATCAGGCTATCATTTTTATAACAAAACATGGTTCAATTTTCAACCGAAACTCGAAAAATTGGAATTTCGAAAATCCCAGAAAACCGATGGATTGATGGTTCTTATTGTAACTGGAATGTCTCATAATCAAGCAATGCGTCATCTCAAAAGAACCTTCAGTTTTGCTTCCAAACACAACTTTTTGTCATTTTCAATGTTTAATCAGGTCAGAGGTTTTCAAGAAGTGTTAGAGATGAGAACCACGAAATTTCAGAGGTCCATAGATAACTGGGAGAATTCAATGAAATTGTTTAGAACATGGAGAAAACCGAGATGTGTTACGTTTCTGCATTCTGACTCCGATAGAATCTCTAAACATTTTGGGGATAAATTTGATTTCCATTCACAACTCTACAACAATTTTAATCGTAAATATCTGGGTCATGTGGATAACTGTATCACAGATGGACGTGTACGATTCAAGAACTTCAGATCAGTTTTCCTACAGTTAAATGTTTCAGGTTACTGTAGAAGATGCAGTTTCGTTATGGGTCAATTCAACGAAAGCTTTTCACAACAAGAAGTTTTGTCATTTTTCTCTTCTTCATCTCGATGATATCGCTTCTCCTCTTGATGGAACATTGGTGAATCTGGATGAAGTATTAAGGGATTCATTTCAAGATTTGTTTGACGAAGGGATTCTTGCAAACACGACAATTATAGTTTTAAGTGGTGGATCCAAGAATAGGTATAAGAATAGGTATACCAACCGTGACGAAGTTTTTGTTTTTCAGCACTGTATATAAAACGGAAAGTGGAAAGATAGAATCAAAATATGGTCTGTTTCTGATTAGACCATCTGACCGGCTCCGAACAAAATTTCCAGGAAAAATTAGCAGTTTATCCAAGAACGTAGACAGGTAGATGATATATCAATATTAATTTGTCAGCTTTT